ACTCCATTGGAGTCCCTAGTTCATAATGAGAATAAAGCAAAGAATTGAACAGCTGCAGGGATTGAGAGTGTATTTTTCTAGTTGTCTATAACCAACAGAGGTTCATAAACGATATCATGGATGCCCTACAAGGAGTAGCTAGCAACTAGCTGCCACTAGCCAGATGGCTTGCAAAAAACACAATGGTATTAGACATGATGATAACAAAGAGGGGAGGTGTATGTGTAATATTAGGAAGTAAGTGTTGTACTTTTATCCCCGGCAACACAGTTCCTAATGGAACCATCACAAAGGCCTTGCAAGGATTAAACATGTTAGCTAATGATCTGGCTGAAAAAATGCTGGAATTAGTGATCCTTTTACTGACTGGTTAGAGGGGTGGTTTAGAAAGTGGAAAAAAATAGCTGCCTCAATTCTCAGTTCTCATAATGTTGTTGTTGTTAAGTACCGTGGAGTCGGTTTGGACTCATAGTGACCCTGCACAGGGTTTCTGAGGCTGTAAATCTTTACAGGAGCAGAACGCCTCATCTTTCTCCCATGGAACCACTGGTACTTTTGAACTGCTGACCTTGAGGTTAGCAGTCCAACTCATAACCACTACGCTATATAGTAGCTGGAATTTTGACAGCTATTGGATGTTGTCTCATACCCTGCATTCGAGGACTAGTCCAGAGGTTAATTGAGACTGTTGTGGATAAACAGACACCCATGACATACCAACAAACCAACTTATTACCCTTAGGGACATCCAGAGATGATACATTTTATGAGGAAGAAAGCGAACAGGTGGTAGATAAATTTGAGAAGTATAAATGAAGTGTAAAGAGAAAAGGGGAGGATTTGTGAGAACAAAATTCTCAAGCTGGTCCATCTTTAGCAATAAGGAGGGTACAGGAAATTGATAGACCAGACATAGATTGTTGGTTAACATAGCAACAGTGGCCTGTTCATCTATGGCATGTATGTGAGCCAGATGAATTGGGGGAGGGGGTTAGGAACCAGTTCCATGACTAGGAACTTTAAATAAGAATGCTACCATCAAGGGAGAGGAAAGATTGTTAACGCCATAGTACTCAGTGAGCTCTGGTAACACAGTGGTTACAAATCGGGCTGTAAACCGCAAGGTCAGCAGTTCAAAACTACCAGCTGTTCCCCCCGGAGAAAGACGAGGTTTTCTGCTCCCATAAAGATTTATATCCTCAGAAACCCTGTACACAGTCGCTCTGAGTTGGAACCGACTCCACTGCACATAACCACCACCACCACTCAGTCAATGAGGAACGGGGAGGGACTTTCTCAACCTAGAATAAAACGCTTTGCAAGAGCTAGCTGTGCGGTGCGTCTGCCTGTATCTTTTGGGTTTGGCGCCAGATTTGGCAAAATCAAATTACAAAGCCTTACTCTCACTAAAACGAGTACAGATTGGATTTCTTGAGCATTTGTCAGTAAGCACTCGTGGTAATTTATCAGTGACCTCATAACCAAGGACCGAGGTATCAATAATGTTCCTCAGTTTGAACTGCGGACCTTGTGGTTCAGTCTGGTGTTGATCCTACAGCACCACACCAGGAACCCTTTCTTCCTTGATTTTGCTTCATAAATAGACTTGTTACTCCATTTGGGAGCATTTGATTTCACTTTGTGAGTTCAACTGTGTCCCCAGTTTTTGAAACCTCAATAAATCGCTTTGCTTTTAAATAAATTAATAGTAAAATTAAGTGTATGTTGCCTTTTCATTAACAGAGGGCATTTCAGTGTGGCTTGTGTATAATCAATAAAGAATATTTAACATTCCTCACATTCTGTAGATGACCTATAGTCAGATGCTTTTAAAAGTCAGCCTGATAAGATACAATAGCATGTTGAACTTTGCTTTCAAATTCTTCACTCAGACTAAGTTGTAATCTAGGATTGTCTTGAAATTGGTATTTAAAGGCACATGAAACTGTTAAACTGTTGTATATGTGTGATTGGTAATGGAGCAGAAGGCTCAAGGTAGCAGAGATGTAGGATCCCCACATATCTGTGAAGTACATGGTCACAAGGCTTAAAGATCAATAAAATATAAGATTATGATTTTTAAAAATGCTTTGAGCAGGATATGGAGAAATTAGAACTTTCATGCATGGCTGGAGTCCTGGTGTGGCCCTGTGGGTTAAGGCACTAGACTGCAAGGTGGGTTTAAACCACAAAGTCAGATGGTCAAGCTCACCAGAAGCTCCTGGGAAGCTCTACACAGGGTCGCTGTAAGTCTGACTGGATGGCACACAAGAGCCTGCATTGCTGGTGAGAATATAAAAAGGTACAGCTGTTGTGGCCAAGTTTAGCAGTTCCTCAAAAAGGTGAACATGTTGCTGTTGTTGTTAGATGCTGTTGAGAGGGTTGATTCATAGCGTCCCTAAGTACAACAGAAGGAAATCACAGCTGAGTCCCATGCCAGCCTCACAGTTGCTGTTGTGTCTGCACCCACTGTGTTAATCCATCGTATGGAGAAGCTCTTTTTTGCTGACCCTCTACTGAGTATGATGTTCTTCTTCAGGAATCGGTGCCTCTTGATAACATGTCTAAAGTCCATGAAATGGTACAACCACTGTGGAAGACAGTTTGTCAGGTCCTCAAAAAGTCAAACATAGAACTACCAAAGGACTCAGCCATTCTAATCTTAAGTATCTACCCAGATGAACTGAAGGCATCAACACAAACAGAAACCTGTGACCAGTGTTCATGGCAGCACTTTACACCAACCCTTCCACAGATGATGGAGAAACACAGTGTGCTCATCCATACAACAGCATACTACTCAGCCACAAAGAGAACTAAAGCACTGATTGGGGTTACAACGGGGTGAACCTTGAAATCCTCAGGCTGAGCAAAGTGGCAGTCACAAAAGGGCAAATCCCACTTATATGAAACATCTCGAAAAGGCAAATGCATAGAGACCAAAATTTATTAGCAGTAACCAGGGGCAGGAGTCCCAGTGTGGCGTTGTGGGTTAATGCACTGGATTGCAAGGTTGGTGGTTCAAGCTCACCAGCCACTCCTCAGAAACCCTATGCTGTTGTTGTTAAGGGCTGTCAAGTCGATTCCCACCCATAGTGACCCTGTACAGGGTTTCCAAGGCTATAAATCTTTAGGGGTACAGAAAGCCTCATCTTTCTCCCACGGAACCGGTGGTAGTTTCGAACTGCTGACCTTGAGATTAGCAGCCCTACTATACAGGGTCGCTATAGGCCGGAACTGACTCCACGGCACTGGCACTTAATAACAACAATCAGGAGCAGAAATATGGTGTGGGTAGTTGCTTACGAGCACCGAGTTTCTGTTTGAGGTGATGGGAAATTTCTGGAAATAGTGGTGATCATTGGACATGATGGATGTAATGAAGGTCACTGAAATGACACTTAAACTGGCAATTTTTTGTTGCATATATTTTATCAACATACAATTAAAAAAAAGTGTTTCCAAAACTTAAAAAGGAACAACTATTTATCCAACAATAAACACTATGCAATGTATGTACACAAGACAGAAAAGAATTAATAGGTAAACCCACAAGTGTGCAAACGTGCAAAGAAAGTTCTAGAAAAACACATGTTAAGCTGTGACCCCTGGAAAGGGGGTGAGGGAGTTTTCCATGGTTAAACGTTTCTGGATCACCTAAGTTTATTGTGAAGAAATGAGTTCCTTTTATGTGGCTTTTTGCCTTGGTTCTTTGGAAAAGCAGTTGGAGAAACTTTCCCCCTAAGCCGTTGTTTCCTACCCTAAAGAGTTTGCTACTATTATCCGGGTTGACTGAAATTTTCTGGGTAAGTTGCAAACAACCTGTACTTTAATATTTTTTGTCTGGCCGTGGACTACAGCCTGCTATGTGATTCATATGCATCTTGCATGGACTGGTCGATATAGTATGCAAATAAGTAAAGTGATTGTAGCCTAGTATGCAAATGAAGTATCTGTGGCCAAGAAGGAATTGGTCAGTTCACAGCCCTGGTAGGAGGGCCTACCTTGAAACTTATGAGGAGTTTGAGGATATATACAGCCAACCCCACAGAGAATTTTCAGACAGGAAGTAGACAGAAACAGAGGAAGAAAGAAAAGAGAAGCAACGGAGACAAGGAACTTCCTAAAAGGGCTGTTTAACATTGAAGACAGCAAGAAGCAGCAGAAACCTATTACTAGGAACGCAGCTGAGAGATCTGAACAAACCTGCTATCGTGGATGGCAGGGAGGCCAAAGGCAGAGAGGCCTGTCCTAAACGGGCTGAGGGAAGGCCTGCTTGGCTGAGAGGGAGAAGAGATGAGCACAGTAGAGATAAGGGTCTGCTTGCTGATGCAGCTGAAAGAACTGGCCTGCTCTAAAGGAGGGGATGGGGTGGGCTCCCAGACTTTGCTTGAATGCTTCCTGGTCCTCAGTTGTAACCTGTTTCTTAACAAACCATTTAACCGTGAGGATGGTCTGTGAGTTCTGTGGGGCTAGCACACACAAAAAGCTTGGAGAGTGGAGACATGTCTGACCTCCAGCTCAGAGGGCTCAGCTTTGGGCTAATCCTGGTCATTATGTGCCACGAAGTCAGACAGGTCCTGACGTTACGCTGACTCTTTTACATGGACATTCCTTTGGTACTTTGCAAAATAAATGAAAAACTATGAAACAAATAAATACCCTGAAAGTTGCCCTCCACAATCCCAACCCTCTACTCCGACTCACCACAGCATCGGACACCCAAAAGGGACCTCCATTCAGCCCCACTCCAGAGCCTGAACCCCCAGTCAGTCTCTGCAAGGGATCAGGCTGGTAGGCCACAGCTTGGTTAGCACCAGCAATATGAAGCTGATTACCTATGAAAGCAGCTCTTCACAGCCCTGTTTTGGGATCAAGCTCTTCCTTGGATGAATGAGAATTCCACTTGGCTTAAACTGTTCCCAGATTCCTCAAGTCAAGTTCTGGCCATCTGCCCAGACTTAGGCTGAATCTTGGACTCTCATAGGGTATACTGCCCCTCACTTGCCCACACAGAAGTCCCGGAAGATGACATCCAGGATCTCTTCAGTGCCCCCTCCCCCTGTGAGATGGGTCAAGTGCCCCCGGGCAATGCGCAGAGCCTCGGCTGCCAGGGCCAAGTCTCTGGCCTCCTTGTAGTGGCCGAGGGCATCCAGGCAGCCCTCCAGGTGGTGCTGATGCCTTGCACGAGTCAGGAGCGGTGGACCTGTGAACGGATCTCCACACCTGGAAGAAACCGAGAATGTGATCACGCTCAATATTCTTAACTGTCTTGCAGGCTAAAGGTTGGGGATGGTTGCACCCATTCTGCAAATAGAGAAACTGGGTGTGAGGCAGAGATATGCGCCGAGCCAGTGGAGGCCCCACCCAGGTCTGGGGTTAGGTGAGGGGGCTCACACTGCAGCCAGCTCCTTCCTCAGTGCTTCTAGGAGGCCGTCCAGCCCCTCCCCGGTCAGACAAGACAGCAGCAGGTGCGGGGGCAGGTGGGGATTGAGGTCTGTGCCCTCAGAGGACAGTAGGTCCATCTTGTTCAGCACCAGCAGAAGGCGCTGGCTGCTCCCATTGGGGCTCTGGGCTCCTACGTGAGCCACAACTGTGTCCAAGAAGTCACAGCTGGAGGGGGAGCCCAGGTCCGAGGCGTCCAGGACAGCCAGAACGAGGTCAGCTTGCTCCAGCCTATGGAAGCAGGAAGAATGAACTGAGCTTGGTTGTGCACAAGAGGGAGAGGTAGATAGGAACAGAGGTAGAACTGTCTTCCCAAAATCACGAAAGTTCCCCACTTAAAGAGAGATGAACAATCTTTTCTCACTCAGAAGGAATGAACTATAAATGCAATAGGGAGAAAAGGCAGAGGAAAGAACTGGTCGTGTCCACTCCCTTGCCCTGCCCACCACTTGGCCCCACCCACCTGACGCGGGCTCTGCGAACACCCTCCTGTTCCACAGGCCCTACGCCTTCACGAAGGCCTGCCGTGTCACTCAGCAGTACCGGGAACCCAGCCAAGTCCACGGGAGTTTCCAGCACATCACGGGTGGTGCCTGGTTCTGGAGACACGATGGACACTGGCTTCCGGCCTGGTGGGGGTGGTCAGAGGGCGGAGGAGGGGTGGGTATAAGGGAGCCCACCCACCTCCAACTCCACCCCTGGACAGAGCCTTCGTGCACCCTGCCCCTAGCTCTAGGTCCCAGCCTCCCCTACATACCAGCCCTCCTCTGGCCTGCCTCCACGCACTGAGCAAGTTTACCAGGCTGCTCTTGCCAGCGTTGGGCGGACCTGCAACCACCACGTGTGCCCCAGAGCGGAGCCGCTGCCCACGACGTGCATCTCGGAGATGTGCACCCAGTGCTACCTCCAGTCCCCGAACTGCGCTGTCCGCTGGGGATAAGCATAGGGGTGGGAGTGAGGGCATTTACAGGACTTGGTCGCGGAGTGGGCGTGGGGTGTCTTCAGCCCCCACACTCTGGCTGGCCCCACCTTGCTCTAGGACGTTTTCCTCCAGATTGTCATCCTCACCGAAGTCGATATAAGCTTCCACGTGGGCCAGAGCCTGTGGGAAGGAAAATATGAGCACTTAGGGACCTCTCATCTTCCCAGGCCCCCTGATTAATGGGCTTTGGGCAGGAGGTTCTCAGACAAGGGAGACACGGGTTCTCACGCTGGCGATGGGCAAGTGGGAGCTCTCACACAGGAAATGGGTGGGAGGTCATGCCCGTTGCACTCGCCTTGGTGAGGGTCTCAGCCCAGTTGTGGCATAGCTGGCCCAGTTCCCCATCCAGTTGGCGCAGGGCCTGCCGGCGTTGCGCCTCTGTCTCCGCGTGGATCAGATCCGCCAAGCCCTCCACTTCGGTCAGGCTCAGCTTCCCATGGGCAAACGCGCGCCTGGTGAACTCGCCTGCCTCTGCTGGTCGCAGCCCTGGCACACCGCCTACGGAGAGGCCACGGTCCTGAGACCCTGAGTCAGGGGACATACCTCATCCAAGCCCACAGGCAAGTCAGGTCTGTCTCAAATAATGCCACCAACTCACCCAGGGCCTGCAGGACCCCGCTCACCACCGCTGGGCCTCCATGAACGTGGAACTCGGCACAGTCCTCACCCGTGAAGCTTTGGGGTCCTAGATGGGAGAGAGGTGAGAGACCAGGGAAGCCACATCCTTACAGGGGGCACTCCAGGAAAAGGGGTTTCACAAGCCTGGCTTCCACACCTGGGAACCACAGCACCAGAGCGCGATCCAGTGGTTCCTTGGAGCGCGGGTCATGGAGGAGACGCAGGCGAGCGCTACGTGCCGGGGGCAGGTCCCGGGCCGCTGTGAGGCTCCTCAGGGCTGGGCCGCTAGCCGGGCCGCTGGTCCGGATCACAGCGACACCGCAGCGACCTTGGCCAGAGCTGAGCGCGAAGATGGTGGTTCCGGAGCCGGAGGCCGGGGCTCCGCTGGCATGGCGCAAGCACGACCTGGGGAGGGAGAGGCACAGTTGGAGTGTTTGGGAGGCTCTGCTGAGGATGGCAGGTGGGCTGAGGACTCGCAGGCCAGGGGATGCCACAATCAGGGACTTTACGACTAGGAGTAGATACATTAGAGCGTCTAGGCCGGAGTGTGTGACCCGATGGGGGCTCTGCAACAGGGGTGGACAAATTGGGGCTTGACGCCTGGAAAGGGGGCTAATAGTGGCTTTGAGACAGGGAATGAGCACCCCCAGACCTCAGAGGATGAGTTCAAGGCCCAGGCAGCACCCGACGGCCACCCACCCAATTGCCACACATCCTCTCCAGGGCACCCCACCAGCCCCACCTGAAAAGTCCATGCGCCTCTCGGGCCTGCAGGGTCCACAGCACCCGCCACATGGATTCACAATCTGGGGCCCCGCCTGTGCGCCCAGCCGGCGCGTCTGTGCGGCTTCAAGTACTGGCAGGAGGTCCCGGTTCCTTCGCTGTTTGATTGGCCAAGCCTTCAGCGACTCTCAACTACCATTGGGTTTCTTCTGAGACATCCCGCCCAAGTACTGCATATCTTCATTCTTACTGGTTGGTTCAAGCCGCTCTGGAGGCGGGAGTGCAGTGAAATGACGTTCCCCGACAACAGAAGTCCCTGGTTTTTGGGTCCTAGCCCAGCCGAGATTCCTGAGACAGGAAATGAAGAGCAGGAGATAGGACACCTCACAGAACAAGGCTACAGAAATGACAGCAAAGGGAGGGTTCGTTCATTTGTACCCTCGGGCCACTCTGTAGCCTGAGATGAGGCAAGAACCTATTGATGTTAGACTTTCTTGTCCTAGACAAGAAAGCTACACTTCTCTGCGGGAGTTCTAGGTGCAAACAGTAAACAACTGAGCTGTTCACCAAAAGATAGGAGATTCCAGTCTCCAGTGGCACGCGAAAGAAAGGCCTGGTCACTTACGTCAAAAAGATCAGCCACTGAAAACCCAATGTTCTCTGTTCTACTCTGACACACAAAAGAGGTTGCTAAGAGTCAAAGTCGACTAGATGGCAAGGCGTTTGTTTTGGTTGTCTAAGGCCAGTTGAGATCCAAAGCTCAGTGCATCTCACACTCAGGGCCAAGAAATATCTTGCCCTGAGCTTCTGGGAAGATTCCTACTTGCTTTCCCCCCAAATCTCCAGTCTCCTCGCCCCTCCCAAACCTTTCCTCTGTAAATTCTCATCGGCCTCGAATGCCCTTCCTCTTCACAAACTCATCCTCCCGGCCTGGCTCCAAAGGCTCCTCTTCCACGAAACCCTCCTGAGCGCTCAGCACAGCCCTCTCAAGGCTTCCATGACCGCTTCCATGACCCCTTCCCTGTTCCAGTCCTAATCCTGACGCTCTGTGGGTGACCAGTTTGTTTCAGTCTCACCGAAGGCCAGAAAAGGGAGTCCTGAAGATTACTTTCAGGTTAAGCCAGGACAGCGCCTGTCCGGCGGAATAAAGCGCTGTTGGTGGAATTCCAGGCACTGGACTGGGCGGAGTCTTCCAGGTCTCCTTCAAAGTCAATTCTCTGGTTTTTGAACAAGCTGGGCGGGCGGGAGGCACACTGCATTTTGTTAAGAGTTCGAATCTGACCCCACACCAACCCGTTCAACCTCCTATTTTCATCTATAAAACTGGAAGACAAGATTTGATGTTTCTGAGTTATTCTACTTGTCACAAGTATACATCAAGCGACTATTGTGGGCTAAGCACTGACAACCAGATCCTGCTACTGTCCTTGCTGAATTCCCAGTCTAACGGCAGACACTACTCACTGAGTAGTTCAGAGGGGTAAGAGTGTGAGACAAAATGGACGAGTAAAATTTTCATTTCAGATAATAAACACCAAATAACACTCATCTGCCACTTTGTCATACTGTGGTGGCTTGTGTGTTGCTATGAGACTGGAAGCTAGGTCACCAGTATTTTACACCTGTAAGGCCACCCATGGTAGACAGACTTCAGCAGAGCTATTTGAATAGCTGTTGTTACGCTGTTGCGTGCCATAGATTTGGTTTCCACTCATAGAGACCCTGTGCACAACAGAATGATGTCTTGCGTCATCCTCACAATTGCTGCTAGGTTTGAGCTCATTGTAAACTGCCATCTATACCAACCCATCTGTTATGGGTCTTCTTTTTGGCTGATCCCACCACCACCATTTTTCCTAGCATGATATCATTCTCCAGGGACTGGTCCCTTCTGACAACGTGTCCAAAATATATGCGATGAAGTCTCGATCTTCTTGTCTCTAAGGAGCATTCTGACTATACTAGTTCCAAGACAGATATGCTAATTCTTCTGCCAACCCATAGTACTTTCAATATTCTTCGCCAACACCATCATTCAAATGCAAGGATTCTTCTGTGGGCTTATTTATTGTCCAACTTTCACATACATATGAGGCTACTGTAATACCATGAATTGGGTCCAGCACATCTTAGACCTCAAACTGACATCTTGTTCTTAAAACACTTTCAAGAGGTCTTTTGCAGCAGACTTGCCTCATGCAATACGCCCTTTGATGTCTTGGCTGCTGCTTCCAGGAGCATTGATCGTGCAACCAAGCAAAATGAAGTCTTTGACAACTTCAATCTTTGTTCATCATGATGCTCTGTATTGGTCCAGTTGAGAGGACTTTCATTTTCTTTACATTGAGGTGCAATCCATACTGAAGGATATAATCTTTGCTCTTCATCAGTTAACTATTTTATCATGCTTCCAGCAAGAGGTTGTGCCATCTGCATATCATAGGTTATTAAGTTTTCCTTCTTCCCTGATGCCATGTTGTGGAAGACCCCTGTTTGCAGTGTGATCCATAGTTTTCTATGACCCACACGGTCAAATGTCTTTGTAGAAGTCAATGACACACAAGTAAACATCTCCTTAGTATTCTCTGCTTTCAGCCAAGTACCATCTGACATCAGCAATGATATCGCTAGTTCCACATCCTCTTCTGAATCCAGCTAGAATTTCTGGCAGCTCCTTGTCAACATATATTTTTAAGTTATCTTCAGCAAGAATTTACTTGCAAGTGATATTAATGATATTGTTTGACGATTTCCACATTCTGTTGTGTTACCTTTCTTTGGAATGGGTACAAATATGCATCTTTTCCAGTTGGTTTCCCAAGTATCTGTCTTCCAAATTTCTTGGCATAGCCGATTGAGTGCCTCCAGCGTAGCATCAGTTTATTGAAACGTTTCCATTTGTAGTCCATCAATTCCTGGAGCCTTGTGTTAGTGGGTTTTTGTTTTGTTTTATTTGTTTTGCCAGTGCCTTCAGTGCAGCTTGGACATCTTCCTTCAATACCAGCAGTCCTTGATCATATGGTATCTCTTGAAATAACTCAACATCCCAATTTCTTTTCTTTTTTTTATGTTTTTGTTTTTTTCTTTTTTTTTTGATAATACTCCTGTGTATTCCTTCCATCCTTTGTTGATGCTTCCTGGTCATTCAATAGCTTGCTCATATAATCCTTCAATCTTGCAACTTGAGGCTTGAATTGTTTTCTTCAATTTTCAGCTTGAGAAATGCTGAGTATGTTCTTCCCTTTTGATTGTCTAGCTCCAGGTCATTCACTGCACCTTTCATCATAATACTTGGCTTTGTCTTCTAGAGCTGCCCTTTGAAATGTTCTATTCAGCTCTTTTACTTCCTCATTTCTTTAGTTGCTTTAGCTTCTCTACACTCAAGAGCAAAATTTCTCATCTGACATCCATTTTGGTCTTTTCATTCTTTCCTCTCTTTTAATGGTCTTTTGCTTGCTGCATGTATGATGTTCTTAATGTCACCCAAAACTCTTCTGGTCTTCCGTCTTTAGTGTTTAATGCACCAAACCTGTATTAGAGACAGTCTCTAAATTCAGGTAGGATAAGCTCACAGTTATAAATATATATGTTTTTTCAATGTTTTATTGTGAATTATGTGATAGTTTACATGGGAGAATATTAGCTTTACATCCATCCTATCGTATATCGTTACATTGCCGTGGTGACAATCCCCTACATGCATCATCAATTGACAAGTCCTTCAGTTAAACTACCCCTAAATCAGGGAACTTCGGTTCAGCTGCTCCCAACATGGAGCAAAAGGACAAATTAGTAAAAAAGACCAAGTTTATCAGTCAGAGACTGGGAGAACCCCAAGACTATGGTCCTTGGTCAGTCTGCAGGTCTGAAACTGAACTCACTCCCATGACTCAATTTTCAGCCAAGCACTAGATAAGGGACAACATTAGTGAGGTACACACATCATAGAATGGCCAATCATTGAGATCAAAAGGGCAGAATTTATCCAAGGACCAAGTTCAGAAGGTGGGAAGGAAAGAATGAAAACAAGAAACACAGGGAGGAAGTGGGATAAATGAGGTTACATTGAAGGGATTGTAATCATCGAGATGAAGTGAAGTGCATGATTTGCTGAATGTAAAACTGATGATCTGCTCTGTAAACGTTCACTCAATTCACAATAAAAAGTAAAAAATTTTCAATTAAAAAGCAAAAATGTTAAGTTCCAGGAAGTGATGGGATACCAATTGAGAGGTTTCAACAAATGGATGCAATGCTGGAAGCGCTCACTCATCTATAACAAGAAATTTGGAAGACAGTCACATGGCCAACTGACTGAAAGAGATCCATGTTTTTGCCCATTCCAAAGAGAGGTGACCCAACAGAATGTGGAAACGATTGCATGAAAGGAAAGTTTTCCTGAAGATAATTCAAAAAACAGTTGCAGCAGGATATTGGCAAGGAACTGCCAGAAATTCAAACCAGATTGAGGAGAAGACGTGAAACGAGGATTATCATGGCTGACGCCAGATGGATCTTGGCTGAAAGCAGAGAATACAAGAAAATTGTTTACCTGTGTTTTATTGACTATGTAAAGGAATTTGACTGTGTGGATCATAACAAATTAAGAAAAATGGGTATTCTAGAGTGCTTAATTGTGCTCATGTGGGATCTGTACATAGACCAAGAGGCAGTCGTTTGAACAGAACAAGAGAATATAGGAACGAAGTGACCGGCTTACAAGGTTTCAAGAGGGAGTTTAATTTAAGAGCATGTGGGGGAAGATAGAGTCTCCACTGAATAGTTTTCATCTTATCTAGAAGTGTCTGGTGAAAAGAGATGGGGATAAGATTCGTATGATGCAATAGTAATTGTTATCATGACTAATTGTAACTATGGGAATTGTAAAGGTAGAAGTTTTGTAATAAAAACGGGTGAGTAGTTAAACTTACAGTCCAGAAAGAGAGAACCCTAGGACCATCAAGGGAGAAGAGCACAAGCGGAATGCAGAACCTTATCCAGAGAAGCAGCAACACCAGAGATGGGGACATGAAGAGAGGGAGCAACTGAGGACTCTAGATTCATGGAAAGAGAGGGACTGAGAGCCGACAACTAGGAAGCAGACTTGCAGACTGTGCTCTTTGGTGCTATAAATTATTATATATGCCTGAGTGTTTAAAAAAAAAAAAAAAGAGCTAAAATGAATAAAGAGAAATACTGTTAACTGAAGGTACATGGAGGGGATTATAATAATTGTAATGAAACAAAGTATATGATTTGCTGATGATCTGTCCTGTAAACTTTCACTCAATTCACAATAAGTACTTTTTTAAAAAAAAGAGAGAGAATATTGCATGGTTTTAAATTAAGACAGGTGTGTGTCAGGATTGCGTTCTTTCACCATACTTATTGAATCTGTATGCTGAACAAATAAGCTGAGAAGCTGGACTATGTAAAGAAGAACATGGCGTCAAGATTGGAGGAAGACTCATTAACAACCGTGCTATGCAGATGACACAAGCTTGCTTGCTGAAAGTGAAGAGGACTTGAAACACTTACTGATAAAAGAGAAACAATTATAACCTTCAGTATGGATTACACCTAAAAATAAAGAAAACAAAAATTCACACAACAGGACCAATAAGCAGCCTCATGACAAATGCAGAAAATACTGGAGTTGTCAAGGATTTCACGTTACTTGGATCAACAATCGATGTTTATGGAAGCAGCAGTCAAGAAATCAAAGAACGAATTGAATCGGGCTAATCTGCTACAAAAGATGGCACTTTGAGGACTAAGGTGAACCTGATCCAAGCCATCAATCATCTCATATGCATGATGAAAGGTGGACAATGAATGAGGAAAACTGAAGAATTTCTGCATTTGAATCATGGTATTGGCAAAGAATATTAAATATATCATGGATTGCCCGAAGAACAAACAAATCTGTCTTCGACATACAACCAGAATGTGCCTCAGAAGTGAAAATGGCGAGCGGTTTCTCTCATACTTTGGACGTGTTATCAGGAGGCATCAGTCCCTAGAGAAGAACATCATGCTTGGGAAAGTAGAGAAGGTCAGTGAAAAAGACTATGCTACCAGAGCTCCTTTGGAAGCCCTATGTGGTTGTTGTTGTGGTTGTTGTTAGGTGCCATTGAGCCGGTACCGACCCATAGCCATCCTATGCACAACAGAATGAAACACTACCTGGTCTTGGGTCAACCTCACAATTGTTGCCATGCTTGAGCCCACTGATGCTGCCACTTTGCCAGTCCATCTCA